CCTGGAATTAAAGAAAAAGGCAGGTTGCTTTGGTGGTGGTGATCACAGGCTCTGGAGCCAGGAGACCTGGATTCAAATTCCAACTCTGCTGCTTCAAAGCTTAGGCAAGTCCCTTCATTGCTCAGAACATCTGTTCCTTCTTCTTCATAAGAAGCAACTGTAACTCCTGGGGAGCAGGAAGGTGAGAATTAAATGAGACTCCAGGTAAAACTGTGGGTGCAGAGCTTGGCACATGGTAAGTGGTCACTAAATGCTAGTGAGGTGTGAAGGTGCTGGTAGCAATGATGATGGTGGTCTACCAGGACATCAAGTGACATCTCAGGCTGCAGAGAGTGGCTCATGCAGCAGGTGCATCAGTCAGGGGCCTGGTAGGAAAAAGGAGGCATTCAAATTTGGTCGTTTGAAGGAAGCTTAATAGAGGGAAGCTTCACAAAGCTGACTGTGTGCATGAGGTGTAGGAAAAACAAGAGGAAGAGTGCAGTACCCTGGGGGCTATGAGAGAAACCTTCATTACCCCTAAGCATGGATAGGCGTGAGGAGAAACAGTGACCACAAGCTGAGGGGGCGCTGCATGGAGAGTGCTGCCTGCCAGGCAGGCTAGCCTTGGGTCGTAGATGGACCAGCCAACCTTAAGAACCAGCTAGAAGGGAGCCTCCTAGATCCCTGTGTGCCCTCCCTTAAACCCAGCCCAACCAGAACCCACTGATGTCAGCCTCCAGGGGCCCAGAGCAGGGTGAAAAGAGGGAGAATGGTCTGATATAGTGCAAATGGGAGACACCCAGCCTCAGGTGAGAGGAGAGGAGACAGCTGTAACTTGCAGCCACACTCACTGCTTTCCAATTTGAACTCACTCAGGGGAAGCAGACAGGCAGTCCTTGGCTGCTGTTTTGGTGTGGAAGGGCCTCAGGACAGGAAGGAAGACAGGTGGGAGGGGCAGAACCACAATGATAGGGTGCCCCCACAGCCCCAAGGAGAACTCTGTCAACAGTGACTCCAGCTCAAACTCAGACTAGCCTTAAGGAGTAGGGTATGAACTGGGGGGCCCAGTGAGAACCATAATTGAAGCAAAGACAAAGCCAGCTCCCCAGATCTCTCTAGAAACTTCCAGGTGGAGCCTCGTAGCTGATGTGAGGTCAAAACAGCTCCAAAGGTCCTGGCCAAGCAGGCTGTGCACTCACTGTGGTCATCCAATTTGGGACTTTCCTGGAGTCTGCCATCCTTTAGCTCACAAGTGATACCTGCTGTATACACTGGGGCTGAGGGGAAATGGCATTGGGAGCATAAAGGCCCCCCAAGACAACTGCCTCAGACAACTGTCAAAAATCAGGAGAGGGGCAAGGACTTGGCCAGGTCCCGCCCCCTGCCTCAGGCTTGTTATTTATTCGGAATGAGCTCAGTGGCATAGGACAGGCTGGTGCCACCATGGAAGAAGAGGATTGACCAGTGCAGGAGATAAGCGGGTCAGGAAGGCTTCTGGATGAGGTGTCTGGAGCTGGATCCTAAGGACAAATGGGATTTAGGTAGGAAAGAAGACATTCATGACAAGGCAGCTAAGTGGAGAAAGGTGTGGCTGTGGGAATGAGCCTGGAAACCCGAACAGAGTGGGTCTAGAGAAGAGGCAGAGAGGAGCTGGCATACCTGGTGTGGCTGAGCTGGGTGAAGATGTACAGACGGACCCTGCAGATGTTGATTGGCCCATTTCTGCTGAGGAGAACCTGCCAAGTCCAAGGTTGCTTAGCAGGACAAAGCAAGCATTTTTGGAGCACTCAGCTGAATGTCAGTGCTAAGTGCTTTGCCTACCTTTTCTCATTCAGTCCTCAGAGCAGCACTCATTTCCCAACTGTATGCCGTGGTCGGCAAACTGCGAGCCACTTGTGGCTCTTTGGCCCCTTGAGTGTGGCTCTTCCTAAGCCTTAGGAGTACCCTAATTAAGTAATAACAATGTACCTACCTATATAGTTTAAGTTTAAAAAATTTGGCTCTCAAAAGAAATTTCAATCGTCGTACTGTTGATATTTGGCTCTGTTGACTAATGAGTTTGCCGACCACTGGAAGGGAACCAAAGCTCAGAGAGGGTAGTATTTTGAACCAAGATCACACAGCTGTGAACTGCCATTTGCTACAAAATCACACTGTTTCCTACCTCATTCATCCCTTCCCTTTCCCAATTCAGCTGCTCAAAAGAAATGGAGAGAAAGTAATGGGGAAGGGTGTGTGTGTGTGTGTGTGTGTGTGTGTAAGAGTGGGGGAGGGAGGGATAATGGGGGGCAGTGTCGTTGTTATAGGGCACGGGACAGGACTAAGGGGAAAGAGTTTGTGGGCTCTGGGAGACACATTTCCCTGTAACTTGCTTCGTGCAATGAGGCCAAAGGGCTGCCTCCCCAGAAGCCAGGCCCCACAGGTCTGCCCAGTCCAGCGCAAAGCCAGAGAGGAGCAGGACCCCTCCTTCCCAAGAGCCAGCCTCAGATCCAGGCGGCTTGCCGCACTTCCCTCGGCTGTGGGCTGCGGAAGGCTGTCTAACCCCTGGCCCCACCAAATGGTAGCTCCAAGCGCTTTCCCCTGAGGGAGGGGCTGGAGGAGAGGCAGGGTCACCTATTAGCTGCCAGACCAATCATTCTCTGCTTCCCCTCAACACTGGAATCTCCCTGTCACCAAAGCTTGGGGCCAGCCCCTGGGCAGGGGAGCAGAAATATCCTCTGGACTTTTGGGGAGCAGGCTCATTTCCCTTGTTTGGGGGAGGCGGAGCTCCACTCCTGGGGAAGGAGAATGAGGCAGGTGGAGTAGCTGGGTTCCCAGTATTGTTGAGTGGGAAAGCCACACTCAGCCCCCAGACTGCCAGCCCTCTCACTGGTGAGGAGGAAGCAATTCCAGGGGAAGGTTATTATAGCACAGGAGTGAGTGTCCTAGGGAGGGGTCCATGGTCCAGAAAGCTGGGCAGCCAGTGAGTGAGGCGGTAGGAAGGCCCCCTTCCCATGACTGCTGAGTGTGCAGGGCTCACTGGTGCTCTGGAGCCAGACGGCCTGGAACCAGCCCCTGCATTATCTTCTTAGGCAGGAAGGCCACGCTGGGGGCTGCAATAGCAGAAATCTCAGATGCTAGGTAGGGCAGCTGGGTGAGAGCCCAGAACCCAAGGGTGGCCCTAGGGAAGCTGCTTAGGTGCTGGGAGAGCGGCATGGCATGGCAGGAGCCACAGTGAGGCAGGAAAGATGGCCAGGGAACAGAACTTAAGGTGTGGTAGCATAGCCCTGAGAGCCAGTGCCTTCTTAAAGTATGCTCCCTAAGTGCCCTGCTGGCCTGTCCCGGTCCTGCTGCACTGGCCCTGAGCTGGGCATGAATGGCTCCTGCAGGCGCTGGGGCAGCACAGGTCCCCACCTGCTGCTGCAGCCTTCAGCACTGAAAGGAAGGGGGCCTGCTAGGGAGACTGGCAAAGGACCCACAGAGACCTCTCTGTGCCTGCTGGATTGTGACAGTATTGCCCAGGAGCCAGGGGCCTGGGAAGGAGGAAAACTGGGAGTGGGCCTCCCAGCTTCTATCCCCAAATGTCTGGGTGACTTCAGCAGGTCCTTCCATTCTAACAAAGGTGAGGCCTCAGTTTTTCTGTCTCTAAATTGGGAAGAACCACTTCCTCCCTGCCTCTCTCGCTGGGGTAGAGGGGTAGAGGCAGAAGCTGGAGGCCTCCTCCCTCTGGCTGCCAGGGTGGGCCTACTCTTGGTCTCCAAACCAAAGAAGATAGGAAGAACCTTCAACGTGAGTCTAAAACAGCTGACAGAAGGAGGAGGCAGGCCACAGGGATCTCCCAGATACCTCTCAATCTCACCCAGTACCCACAAATCTCACTGTTGCCAGCCCAGGATTCTGGATCATCTTTTGAGGTCCAGTTCAGACCTCACCCCCATGGGACAGACCCCACCCACTCCAGGCCAAAGGCCAGTCATCCTCATTCTGCCATCCCACCACACAGAAAAGCATGTGGTAGTGCCAAAGGTAAAAAGGGTTATCTTTGTAATAATTTCTTACGGAGCTCAGAATTGGATAAGTCATAAACCTTGGTCCATATCCTAGATCCACTGCTGACCCATACATGGTCCTCTTTATAATTTATTTTCAATAATATAATGAACAGCCATTAACTGACCACCCAATCTAAGAGACATGACAACAACAGATCTACTTATTCCCAATTCTCTCCCCTGCTTTCTCACCCACACTCCAAGTGGAAACCATTCTCTTGAACTTCGTGTTTTTTATTATTACTAGTAAACAAATGAAAAGCTATGGACACCCAAAGAGGCAGGATGGCTGCAGATTTCTTAAAAGAAATAGCTGTTTCACCAACCAAGTTGCAAGTTCCTTGGGGGCAGCTTCTCCTCCTCTCCTGCAGTGTGACCAGCAGGGGCTGGGCACTCAGGGTGGTTGGTGAATGTGGACTGATGGTCTGCTTGGGGTATCCACACCAGGAAGGATGAAGACTGGATTCCAGAGAGCAGGCAGGACACAGCTCCACGATTAGGGAAAAGGGCTCTTGATTCCACCACTGTACCTGGAATTCTGTGTGACTTCTGCCTTGCCCTATGACATCACACAGCGTTGCCCAGGTGACCCAGCTGTGTGGAAAAGCTTTCTGCTTTCCCAGGTCTGAGCAGACAGAGGGCCACCCTGGCTTTATCTTCCTGGGGGTGCCAGAAGCCAGTTACCCAGCTGTTGACCCCTGGCCAGCTGGCCATGCCCCAGACTCCCCACGGCATCTCCACTCACAGTATGTCTGGCTGCTGAGGAAGCTCCATACTCCTGCCCCCACCACCTTGACTCCCTCTTTCCTTTCCCCATTGAGGTCTCAGGACCAATATATAGCACCCTAAGACCACACTGATGCTCTACACTGTTCACCACCCGAAAGACTCTTAAGGTGCCAGAGGGGACTGATGCCTGATCCCCCACCAACACCAGATCCTGGTCGCTGAGATTGTTAAACAAGACCAAACACTGCTGCCCCCAAGAGGATGGACCTGGAAAAGGAGAAGGTGAGGCCTGGGGGCATGGGCCATGCACCACATGAACTCATCTTCTCTTCCAAGTCCCTTGTGTGTGTTTTCCCAAATCATAACAGATACTTTCCTTCTCTGCCTCAGTCTTCGCAGCTGTGAAATGGACTGAGGTGATCTCGGTGGCTCTTCCAGATTAGGTGTCCTATACTCGGGCCAGGTGGATCTGAAAGGTGGCGTGCTCAGTGTTATCAAGCCCTACTGCACTTACCTGGTGATTTCTGCCTGTCGCCCCATGACCCAGAGTGAGATGTAGCTTGAACTGCCTGTCTCACCCTCCACATCTGGAAAGGAGTTTCTGCCTTCTCGTTGCTGGGGTCACAGAGGCTCAGGGAGCCCAAGGAGATGGCTCACCATCACCCTTCAAGCTCTTCCAGGGGTTTCCCAGGCTGCTCCCCTTTCAGTGGTCATGCCCCACTACCACACCCTCCCAGCCCTGGCCCAGCCCCTGCCCCAGGTCACAGGGACTCCAATTCCTGGAAAGAAGGAATTTTTGTCTATTTCTGTCACTGCTCTATCCCCAGTACTCAGAATAGTGCCTGATACATAGTAGGTGCTTAATAAATAGCTGTGAGAGAGCAGCACGACCCTGCCTAGACTAGAATCTCAGTGGGAAGAAAGGCAAATAGTTCCATGTCAGGGCTCCCCTACCTTCTGCTAACTGGTAAGGTTGAGCCCATGCCTTTGACGTGTCACTTACCAACAGGGGTGACAGAAAGAACTAAGGCCAAGGCACACAGGTATTTGCTAACTTGGAAACATCCTCTTCACAGCTACACCCTTAGGTCAAATGAACCAAATAGCTAGGAGTGCCCAGGCCTCAATGTGGTTTATACTCTACTAGAGGCCCAGTGCACCAATTTGTGCACAAGTGGGGTCTGGCCAGGCCTATCAGGAGGAGGAGATGGCGGGAAGTTGGCCTGCCCTGACTGGGGCCTGATCAGGGTTGGGCTGGCTGTGGGGAGGGGCTGTGAGCCGATCAGGGTGGGGGAGCTGATCAGAGGCCAGCAGCCTGGGGGAGAGGCCATGGGTGGTTAGCCAGCCAGCCTTGCCCCTGGTCAAAGTGGGGGGGAATCAGGGGCGGGGCAGGCTGGGGGGGAGGAGCTTCAGGTGGTTGGCCAGCCCCACCCCCTATTGGGGTGAGGGGGTGATCAGGGGCAGGGCCGTCCAATCAGGGGCGGGGCCAGCCAGGGGGGATGGGCCACAGGGGGGGATTGGCCATGGAGGGGTTGGCTGGCCGGCCCCGGCCCCAATTGGGCCAGTTCACTGGCCACAGTGGGCATCATAGCAACTGGTCGTTACAGTGTTCTGGTCGCTGGTTTTTTATATATATAGACTAGAGGCCTGGTGCACAAAATTCACACAAGGGTAGGACTTCTTGGCCTGGCTGGCACTCAGGGCCGATCAGGGCCTTTGGCTGCCAGCTAGGGCCTTCCTTTGTTCTGCGCCGCCCCCTGGTGTTCAGCACACATCATAGCAAGCGATCGGTGTCCTGGTTGAACTCCCACGGGGACAATTTGCATATTAGGCTTTATATATGTAGGTTACCCTTGACTTCAGTGTCTGTGGTTCCTGGTGCCCTGTACCCACAGCTGGCTCCTCTCTTTGACCACACCCTCCCCCTTTAAGCCTCCTTCTGGTAAGTCACACACTAGGCACCAGGCACCAGGCACCAGGCACCAGGCTGGCCTGACCTGGGGGCCCTGAGCTGCTAACTGGTTCCTGAAGCTCATTGCCACCTGCCCACCTGAGCTGAATGAGGGAGGAAGGGGAGATTCAGGAAATGTGGGTGGAAGGAAGAATGCCCTGAGGAAGAGCTGGATTTATTTGACTCACAGCTTTAGGAAACAGAATCCCCTGTAAGGATGTTCATAATGTATATATAATATTACATGTTCATATTTCTTCTTTGGTGAATCCTCCACTCAAGGCAGAGATGCTTATAGATTTCAGAGTTCTTTGTGTATTAGGGATATTCATACATTTATATAAATTGCAAGTATTTTCTCCTGTTTGTCCTTTCTTTGTATTATGGTGAAATTTGGACCATTGTAGAAGTTGGTATAGATTTTTTTTTTTTTAGTTACCGAATCTATTAATCCTTCTCTTTATTTCTGACTTTTGTGTCATCTTTTAAAAAGGCTCTCCTGCTCCAAACACCACAACTTCTTGCTAGTGCCAATGAGTGCTGGCTACTGGGGTTATGAGCCTGAGGGTGTATGGATACATTGTGGTCCAGTGAGAGCAGGTTATACCCGAAGAAGGCTGGCAGCGCAGAGCAGGGACAGCAGAGAGTACAGGCGGACAGACCCCGTTCCCATTCCAGCTCTGCCCGTGAGCTCCGCTGTGTGCCTTGGTGCAAGTGCAAGAGCTTTCTGTCCCAAGGCCCGGTGCCTGCTTCCTCAACTATGAAAGAGCCTTCGTGGCCACTGTGACTCCCAGGCGAGTTTAGAGGCTGCACATAGAAGGAACATGAGGAACCACTTTCAACTCAAAGCCCTTGTGATACAACTGGAGAAGCTGAGGCTCCTGGAGTCTAATAATTTGTCCAAATTACTGATCAGAGGCAGTCCGACCTCATGTCTCCCAGGCCAGCGATCCCTCCTCTGGCCCCTGGCTTTCAGATGTAGGGCCCTTCTGGAGGTGTAACTGAGCTTCCTGCCGCCCAGATTGCTGGGGCAGAGGGGTGGCAGCGGGCAGGATCTGGAGGAACAGAAGGATCTGTCTCCCCACCAGGGCCAATTTAAGCCCCAGCCCTGGAAGCTAAAGCAACCAGCCATGAATTCCTTCACTGTTGGTGCAGTCTTCCTACTCCCACCCTTGTCTCCTCCCCACAGCACATACATCCCAAAATAGGCAGCCCCTGGTCCCTCGGGACATTTGCAGGCTAATCCTGGCTTACTAGGTATTGGTATTAGAACCTTCTGAGCTAGCTGCATGCCAGGCCCTGGTAGAGGAGCTGAGAGGGCTGCTTTGTATGCTGACCAAGACCCTATCTGCACCCCAGCCATGTTGGGGGGCTAACCAATGGAGAGTAAGCTAATGGCAGTACCCAGCTCTGCCATCAGCCTATAGGAAGTATATTCAGGAAGTGAACTCCCTCCCCAGGGTTCATTCATCTCACACCCATGATGGGTCTGTGAGACCTGAGACTGAGAGAGATTTCATCATCACCCACGGTTTACTTTGCTCCCTGACATGTAACTCAGCACGTGCATTTTCTTTTCCCTGATAATTTCTTCAGTGTATGCCAGGGAGGATGGGGGTAGAGAGAGGACATTAGTCCTGAAGCAGGGAAGGCAGAAAGGTTGGGCCACCAGCACCCTTCGTGGCCTCCCACCTGGCCTCAGGGCTCCCTGGCCCTGGGCTCAGACTGCCCAGTGGGCATGTGCCCGCAGGCCTCAGCACCAGGCACCACCTGGTAGTTGGCCTCATGCCCAGAGTGAAGCACAAGCAGTTCTCTCCCAAACCCCTGCAAGCTTTACGTCCCCAAGGCGAGGCACAGCAGAGGCAGAGGAAGGAGAGGATAGGGAGGGGGCACAACTTAAGGTCTGGTCTGCAAAATGCCTGGCTGGGCTCTGGGGTTGCCAGGTAGTCAGTGAGAGCTCTTAGGCAACTGCCATTCAGCTGGGCCCTCATTTCTGGGGCCATGGAGAACTTTTGAGAGGCCCTGTACCCCCACAGCAACAAGGGTGCTGGGGCCACCGTCATAGGCTGCTCTTAGGAATCTGGGGGTGGGAGAGATATTAGTTGGCTCTCCTGACCTCATTGCAGGAACCTTAGGCTAATTACTGGGAAGACTGCATTACAAGCCATTCCAGATTTACCCATTGACCAGGTGGGAAAATTAAGGCTCAGAGAGGTGGTGCAGAGAGCTGGGGGCAGAGCCGAGCTAAAATGTAGGTCTCTGGACCCCCAAGCTAGTATATTGCTTCTACACCACCAAACCAGAACAGCAAACCTGCTGGGGAGTGCGTGGAGCGGGGGAAGGGGAGTGGGGCTATGGGGTAGCAGTGAGGGTGGAACCTTGGATAGGCAGCATCTCAGACTATGGTGGCTCTGTGGCTGTTCCCACTCCTCTCCCCTCCATGGGGCAGGGGTTCCTTCTGCTGACCTCCCTCCCCCTCTTCCCATCCTGGCCTGGAAGAGGAATAGCGGGGAGGAGGAGAGGTAGCTCAACAACCCTTCAGATAGTGATGGGGCCTGCTGGGTCCTGAGGTGGGAGTTGCCTCAGTCAGAAGAAGGGGCGAGATCTCTTGGTAGGGCTGGCACTTCGGGGGCTGGGGATGGGATTCTCACCTCCTAATTAGGCATCGTGTTAGGCCAGGATCCAGCCTGTACCAGGAAGGCCTTTTGGATAGTAAGTCAGACCTGCAGGAAGTGAGGGAGCAAGCCACAGGGATGGGCATATAGGGAAGAGCATGCCTGGGAGGGACGGCCAGGGAAAAGGCCGTGAGGCAGGAGTCACCTGAGTGTGTGCGAGAGACCTCCAGGAGGCTAGTGTGGTTCGAGTGAGTGGCCAAGGGCCTCGGGATGAGGTGAGGTCAGTTTCCCCTGCCCGAGCCCCCAGGTCCTTACAGTACTGTGAGGCCCTGAGTGAAGTGAGGAGCTGCTGCAGGATTTGAGCAGAGGAGTGATGTGGTCGGTTCGAAATCTGTAAAGATTTATTCTGGCTGCTCTGTGAGGTGGGCAGGACAGAAGACAGTCAGAGGGGAACAAGAAAGCTATTAAGAATCAAATACAGAAATCCATTGCTTTGGGCCTCAGTGCTGGAAGTGCAGACCGTGAGAAGGGGTCAGATTCTAGACATGGTTTGAAGGTAGGGCTGGCAGGACATGCTGACAGATTGGAGTACCTCGGGGCTCATGTTTGTGGTCACCCCACACCACCGTTGTGAGAACTGAATGCAGTAACAGCTCTTCCTGTTCCCTAGCCTAGAGGCTTCCAGAAACCAGGAGCCACTGCTCCTGGGACCCCAGGCTCAGGGTGGAAACAGTGTGTGGGCACCTGGGCCATCACATCGGAAGCCGGTGGGTTCCAGGCAGGCTGGTTCCAGCCCTCATTGTCCAGTTGGAGAAAATGGCTCTCAGAAATGACTGATTTGGGGTTTAAACCCAGCTCTCCTGACACGTATCAGGACAGAGCCAGAGTACCCACCCTGCCGGGGCTGCTACAGCACAAAGCCCACCCAAGACCAGACCCTCAGCCTCCCCTCTATGTAATAGATCATTGTTCTAAATGGTCTCCACAGACCACCCCCTTTCTGAAGACTCCCCCACCTTACCAGGCTGCCCTGAAATGCAGGCTTTGATAAGCTGAGTTTTCCAGATAAGAGGGTCAGCTCCCAGTGGCTCCCTAGTGCCCCATCTCCAACCTGAAGAGGTCCACTGTTCCTCTCTCCCAGACAGAAGGCCCCTCACATCAGCTGGTGCCAATCAATAAGCAAGAGAGAGGAAGGGTGGGGTGGCCTCCTGCCAGGTTAATCTGGGTCAACTGTGTCAATGTCAGTTCCAGGCACTGGGAGAGCGTCAGTGGTTCAGTGCAGGGAGAGGACCCAGATACCCAAGTCACAGCAGCCCCATGTCCACACCCTCCCCACCCCAGTGTTTCACTTGATTCTTAAATGCTTTCTTGTTTATTCACCCATAAATGCCCGGCTCTGCCACATCCTGTGACTCCCTGAAGCCTCCAGAGACACTTTGAGCCTGCCCTGGGTCTCAGAATGCTCTGCCCCCTCCCACTCAGCTGCCTCAGCTCCACTGTTCTGCTTTCCTGCTTGTCCTCCCTGCTTCCCCACACGTATTCTCCCAACCCTTTAAGGCCTCTTCTTCCAGCTGCCTTCCCTGACTGCCCCAATCTGTGGCTTTTGTCTCCTCTCAGCAGCTCTCATCACCATGATCATTTGGGCCATGAATCCACAAACTATTGAGTTATTGAACCCTTGCATATGAGTTGCTTGGGGCAACCAGTCCAGGAGGCCACATGTGGGTAGGCACCTCTCTCCTCCTTCCTGGTCCACGGGGTTCTCTGGGCTGAAGATAGACCAGACATCTGGGACAGACAAATCATTCATCTTCATTAAGGCATTGGGTGGCTCCATGGATAAGCTTTGTAAACTGTACAGTGCAGTGCACAGGGGGACCTGAGGTGGACTGGGTAGGGTTATAGGAGAGACAGAAGAAGGTCAACTGCTAGGACCTCAAAAGCAGGAGGAGTATGACAGGCAGGTACCTGCAAAAGTCAGGGCTTAGAGGTGGGACTGGACTTGAAAGGTGAGGTAGCCTCTCTCATTCTGCAAGAAATGATGGATCCAGGACCTGGGGAGAGGCCAGGAGGGAAACTGGGAGAGATGTGGGCTGTGGGGCAGAAGTAGGGAGAAAATGGGGTCAAAGACGACTGCCCCTTTGGGAACCATAGTTACAGACTGGATAGGAGAGTGATAGAGGGAAATGGCTACTTGGAGAGGAGATATGAGAGGACAAGAGGTACCAGGAGGCAGTAAGAAGAGGCCACTCAGCCCTGGCTCTCTCCACAGGTCACCGAGGGCCCAGAAGACTCCCCAAACACCACCCAGCCTGTGGAATCTGTCATCAGCCACCTGTCTCCTTCTAATAAGGAGACTATCACGGTCACTCTCCATGGGGCCACCAACCTCCCTGCCTGCAAAGATGGCTCTGAGCCGTGGCCCTACGTAGTAGTGTAAGTAGCTGCTGAGAGTGGGTCGGGGCCTGGTGTCCACTGGAGCAGAAACCAGAGTGTGGTTATTTAGAATATGAGCACCCAAAGGTTTGGGGCTTGGACTGTGATACCCGAGGGAATGCCAAGTGTGCATCACACAGGGGCTGGGTGACTCTGCAAATGTGAGGCCTGGCATCTTCCTGCTGCATGGAAGGTGCTCGCCAGGGCTAGGAAAGAAAGGGCAGGCCACTCCTTGATCCCATAATTCACTGGGCTGGGCTTGGACACCACCTGACCTTAGGGGCAAGGCCCCTGGATGCAGAGGCCTGGGCTAGGCTCAGTGAGGGGTGAGGGTGGTGAAAGGAAGGAGAAGTCTTACCTCTCCCAGACTCTTGGTGCCCCATCCTACCATCCTCCTCCTTGGCCCCCCTACTCTCTGGTCATTTCGATCACGGGGACTTCTCTAGTTCTTGTCTTTTAATGCACTGCCATATCCCCTCCAGCTAGCTGCAGTCAGGGTACACACTTCTCATAGCTTGATACCGAGCGAGGCCTGCCATACCATGTCTGCTGCCAAGCTCATGGACCTCACTTCTCTCAGAATGGCATCAAAGGGCTACAGAGTCTCCATCCAGCCAACCTTCCATATGGATGTTGGACATCTGCTCAATCTTGATTATAAAGCACTCTGCATGCTTCCCCCGCCCCGCCCCCATGTTTGCCATCCCTTAGCCCAGCGGATCTCAGGGGTCGCCTAAGACCATCCTGCATATCAGATATTTACATTACGATTCATAACAGTAGCAACATTACAGTTATGAAGTAGCAACAAAAATAATTTTATGGTTGGGTCACAACATGAGGAACTGTATTTAAAGGGCCAGAAGGTTGAGAACCACTGCCTTAGATCCTTCTGTAGAAACTAAGAGCCACCAGGGCCTCCTGCTATACCTCCCTCCACCTCCCCTCCTCCACCAATAACAGCATCATTCAGTGCCTGCCTATTGGCTTTTCTGCACATTTTCTTTTGGAGAGTGCCTGCCCAGCCTTCTCCCCAACACCTGCTGAAATCCCACCTTCAAAGCCCTGCTCAGGATGCCTCCTCAACTCTGGCAGCTGCCTAAGTTGAGCTCTCCCTTCTCTGGAGGCCACAGCAGTATCAAACCAGTCAGATGCACTTTATGTAAAAAAGTACTGCTCCTCTGTTTCCCAAACTAGGGTTCCCCAGGACAGGGAACATTTCTCTGACAATGCACCTAGTATAAGCCTGAGCACAGACTTAAGAGGCCAAAGAGCAACTAAAGCAAACACCAGGTCACTATAACAACAACTACTGCACCCCATAGAGTGAAAGAAGGCTAGACGGTGGGCTGGAGACCAACAGGTGAAACACTTGCTTGTCTCAAAAGCCCCATCCCCACCTGCCAGCTCCCAGGCCCTCTCCTCCCCTCTCCTTCCCCAGCTCCATTTCTGTGGAGAGGAAGGACAGGTGGCAGAGAGAGGGCTTGGCGGGGAGCTTTCGGTCTCTGTTCAGCTATTTCCATAAACCAATTATCGCCCATCATCTAGGGAGATTGAGGCCCTGCCTATCACCAATCCAGCCCGGCGGCAGGGGGCAGGGGGGGGGGGGGGGGGGGGAAGCTGGGCGGCCCGCTGCTCCTCCACAGGCATCACGACCTGCGCCTTCACCCGGTTGCCATGGGAACGCTCAGTTGGAGCTGTGCTGGGCTGGAGCTCGGGTGGGGGGTGTGGGGGCGGGAGGAGCGCCTCGCCGCCGTACCCTTCAGCACCCAGGGAGGGGGCAGGGAGCTGCGTTCCAGGCCTCCTGGCGGCTAGGCTACCGCCTTCCCAAGGTGCTAATGAGATGCAAATGAAGCAAAGGGAGAGCTTCAGAGAAGGAAGGCCCAGCTGGTGGGACATGAAAAGGGCTTCAGTTCGAGCCCCCAGCTCCAGAAGCCCTAAGCCCTGAAAAGAACATGGTATCCCCCGTATGTCTGATTCCAAACAATACAATGCATACCTGCAATGAGCATTACTTAGTCCACTGGTGTTTTTATTTTTCTCATGATGAGTATTTTGATGCTTAAAATATATATTACATATATTTTATATATTGACTAATAGTAAATAGTATATTAATATATATTAAACATAATTTCATATTCTTTCAAAATATTTTTTCTTATCTTTCTGTTGCCTGTGCTTTCTGCTGCCTTCAGCTTGGTCTTCTGGCTTAGTTTCTGCTCTCTGCCATCCCACCTGTCTCATCTCAGATTGGAGGTGGGACACGGGATTCCTGTGTCTGCCAGTTCTGCCCTCCGCTCTGGGTTTGTTGCATCCCAGCAGGCAGGCCCATGGTGATAGGGGGTGGAGTTGGGGTTGAAGTACAAGGGCCCAAGCTACTCATTCATTAGCCCACTAAACGAGAGTTGGTGAGGGTGAGGGTCCTAAGAAGGAACCTCCCTAGTTTGGCATGTGGCCTCTTTACCACTATGCAGACTCCAGCCTTGAGCCATCCTATCTAATAAAGAGGTAATATGCAAATTGACCATCACACCCTCACACAAGATGGCCTCCCCCATGTGGTCACAAGATGGCCACCACAAGATGGCCGGCAGGGGAGGGCAGTTGGGGGTGACCAGGCCTGCAGGGGAGGGGAGTTGGGGGGGGGCAGGCCTGCAAGGGAGGGCAATTTGGGGTGACCAGGCTGGCAGGGGAGGGCAGTTGGGGGCAATCGGGCCTGCAGGGGAGCAGTTAGGCATTGATCAGGCTGGCAGGGGAGTGGTTAGGGGGTGATCAATCTAGCAGGCAAAAGCAGTTAGGGGCAATCAGGCAGGCAGGCAGGCAGGCAAGTGGTTGGGAGCCAGCAGTCCTGGATTGTGAGAGGGATGTCCAACTGCCGGTTTAGGCTGGGATCAGGCCTAAACTGGCAGTCAGACATCCCCCGAGGGGTCCCAGATTGGAGAGGGTGCAGGCTGGGCTGAGGGACACCAGCCACCCCACCCCCCCATGCACGAATTTCATGCACCGGGCCTCTAGTCCTATATAATAAAAGCCAAATATGCAAATTGTCCCCTCGCCACTCGCTATGACATGCACTGATCACCAGGGGGCGGTGCAAAACATGGTGGGCATCCACAACACAGTGCTGGCAGTGGATGGCAGTGGAGGCGCTGCCAGCCCCAATGGGCCCCCAACAAGAGCAGGACTGTGGCAGGATGGTGGAGCAGGTGAGCAGGCAGCACCAGGCCAAGGTGAGTGCAAGTGGGGGCCCCAATTGCCCTGCCAATCACCCCGCAGATGGCAACCATTGGGGGGGGGCACCACCTAGCTCCCAGGCTCTGAGGGAGCCAGGTGGCCCCCCTCCAACCCCCATTGATTACCCCGCAGGTGGGATGGTGGAGCAGGTGAGGGGGCAGCGCCATGGTGGGGTGCCAGGCAGGGCTGCAGGGCTGCGAGGCTGGGGGCACAAGCTGGGGCTGCGAGCCTGGGGGCACAAGCTGGGGTCCGATCCCCACAGGCCACCCTGAGGGACCCTACCCATACACGAATTTGTGCACCAGGCCTCTAGTCTAGTAATAAGATGCATCTTCCAGGCCAATAGATCCACTTGGCTCATCTTGAGGTTCTGCCTCTTTCCATCTGAGCCATTGGCCTGCTTCCAATCTGACCCTACTTCTCCACTGAAACAGCTTTCTCTAAAGTCACCAGTGACCGTCATGCCTGACCCTATATCCAACAGTCATCTTACCTTTTGTGATCTCTCTGGGGCATTAGCCCCTCATGACCACTCATTCTACTTGAAGCCCTTTATTTTCCTGGTTTCCAAAATGCCCCCTCTCTTATTTTCCTCTCTGTGCACCACCCCTTTATCTCTTCTTCCTGGCACTAAATGTTGACCTGCCCCAGGGTTCAACCCTCACTTGCTCTTCTTTCTCTATACTCTCCACATGATCTCATCCCCACCCTGGTATCAAATCACATTCTCACCCCATCCAATCCATCACCCAGCTGTGTCATTTCTCTCCTACCTTGACTTTGCTGCTTCTCTCCATCAGCTCCACCACCTTAGGCTACTACATTATTCTTCTGCTCTTGGTACTTGCCCCTCTTCAAACCCCCTTCAAAGGCAGGTTGCTATTTGATACCATGGGACCACACTACTGAAGGAACTCATTCTTCAAACCCTCCAATGACTTCTCATTGCTCCCAGAATAAAGAGGATTCTAGGCCCAGCATGCATGTGTCTTTGCTGGCCCCTTAATATGACCCCCCACACACACACACTCACACACTCTCTGCTCCAGCCACTCCAGACATCTCTCTGTTCTCTGAGCAGAACCTGTTTCCTCCCACACCAGGCCTTTGCATACTCCCTCCCTCAGAACATTCTTCCTGTCCCTCCTCCCCTCATTGGATCTCAGCTTAGTCATCATCTCCTCAAGAAAGCCCTCCCAAACTTCCCAGGCCAGGCTAAATCCTCCCCCCTTATTATAGTTTCATGTTTTGTGTGCTTTTATGTGATTATTGGCTTACTCTTCCTCAGTGCCTCCCACATTGTGCCCCACTAGTTCCATAAGCAACCACCAGGTCTGTTTTGTCCACCATCCAATCCCTACTATTCAACACAGTATCTGGAACATAGGAAGCTGTCAACAAATATTGAATGAATGAGTAAGCAAGTGAATGAGTGAATCTGGCCCCATTTCTAGCTTTCTCTGTGACTTTGGGAAAGTTATTTCACCTCTCAGTCCTGAATACCTCACCTGGGAGCCTGCTTCAAAGGGATGTGGAGATGGCAGAGCCAAATGGGGAGATGCTGATGGTAAAGAGTGACGCGGAGGTGAGGGGTATCCTGGGGGTGAGGGGTATCCTGGGGGTGAGGGGTATCCTGGGGGTGAGGGGTATCCTGGAGGTGAGAGGGGTATCCTGGGGGTGAGGGGTATCCTGGGGGTGAGGGGTATCCTGGAGGTGAGGGGTATCCTGGGGGTGAGGGGTATCCTGGAGGTGAGGGGTATCCT